ACACAGCGGGCCTTGATAGGGGGTTTCTGAATCCGCGAGGTGGGAGGGAGGAGGGGCGAGGTAAGAGGGACACTCGCAGTGGCTTTTGAAACATCCTTTCCCAGGGCTATGTGGATGAGAGCGGTGACCTGCTCCACCCGGACCGGGCTAGGCACGCAGGCAGCTCGGATGCTGCAGGATCCTAGGAACCGCTTTCTCTATGGGCTTGTGGGGCAAGGCTGTACCCTCTCCCCTTCCTTCTCAGCCCAGGGCGCTTCGGAGTGCAGCAGCCGGCCTACCCAGGGGTCGTCCAAAGGAGCAGAAGCCCCAGGCCACCGAGGGGCTCACTCCGGAAGTTGCCGGGAGCTGAGAGCTGCCTCCTATTGCTGTTTGGGTCCCCTGGGACTTGAAGGACTAATTTCGAGTTGCTTGAGATGGTCAGGCCCAGCCTTCCTGAGGCCAAGGGGAAGCCAAGGACTGGAGGTTCGCACACAGGCCCACCACCATCATCAGCCCCGCCTGCAGCGGCTCCTGCCTCCCGGAGTTTTCACGTTTTCCGCGGGATACACAGGGCAGAGGCGCCTGGCAGCAGAGTATGGTTCCGGGCAGTGGGGGCACCAGACCGAGGCAGAGTGCAAAGGATTTCGAACTCTTCAAGTTCAGGCAGGGTGCCCTTTCCAGGGGCGCGGCCTGATGGCACGTGCTTGCCAGCCGCCCTGCCCACGGGTAAGGCATCAGCTGCTTTCCCTCGGGTCTCAGCTGGGTGGGAGCCCTCAAGTAGGTTCGTGTCTTTGTGCTTTCTAGGATGACGACTAGGTGCGGGGTTGGAGAAATGGCCACTCTGCTTGTTAAATCTAGGGGAGAGACAGAAACTTGGCCCTGCAGAGTTCCAGAGAGAGTCAAGATTCCAAACCAGTTCCTTGCAGGTCCAAATAGGAGGGAGAGAGAGTCAGGAACACTATGCTCAGATACAGGCTTCGCGTTTTAAATTGTGAAAACAACCGTTATGGTCTCCACCTGCAGTGGCTGATGGTTTCCTTTTTAAATCACTGCTTGATCATCCTTTCCTGAAACATACGCTTGGGTTTCTGGTACCTGAGCATCCCAGACTTTGGTTTAAGGCTGGGAGGAGTGAGAAAGGGAGTGTTTTCTTAGGGAGCAGGTGATTTTCCGCAAGCCCCAACCCTGCCAAGTCTTTGGGAAGTCAACTTCCTTTCTAGGCTCTTAACTCAACCTTGCAAACAGCTCCCAGACTCATCCTTGCCAGTGTCCCCTGAGGAGCCCCAGAAACCTGCAGGACCCTGGCCAGAGGGAAGGAATGGACCTTCAGTGTGTGACTGCGCCTCCTGATTCCTTCCAGCCCTCAGGGTACCCCCAGTTCTGCTCAATGTAGCGATCTAGCTGTAATTTTCCTGTATCAGGCCCAGGCTAGCCAAGTCAGGTACACTACTGAATTTAATCCTCTTCACCTCAAAGGGGACAGGCATGGGAGTGAAAATTCGAGTTCTGTCCCTGGTGGGTCTGGGGGACAGAGATTCCAGATACAGCCTTTGTCAGCAGTGCAGAGCTGTAGAAGGGAGATGGAGGAGGGGTGGGGGAGAGGAGGAGTTCTGACCTTCACTTCTCCAGTCCCTTCTGGGTCTTCAGGTTTTATTAAGTCTGAGGAATGAGAGAGACCTCAGGCAGATTGCCTGGTGGTTCTATGGTGTTTCCCCAAGGCAGCTCCCTCACTGGACTGGAGGAAAGGGCTGTAAGGACTGGGGCTGTAATAGGGAGGGAGGGCCTCCGGCGAATCCTGCGCCAGAGCACTAGGGGCCCGATATTTCAGCAAGTTCAGCCCCTCCAGGCACAGATGGGGAACCTGACTCGGGCACTGCTGTCACGAGGTCACCAGCCGGTCAGTGGGGGAGCTGGGCCCCAAACGAGGGGGTCCAGATTCCAGCGTGGGCGGGGTGGGGGTGGGAGGGGTTTCTGTCACTGCCAGCGCCGCTGTGCTCCTGGGCCGACAGGGGACCGGGCGACTGCAGCAGACTGAGCCCCGGAGGCCCGGAAGAGGCGCGGGCCCCGAGCCGGCCGCGTCCGGACACCTCGACGCTCCTTGCTTGGGTAATTCCGGATGAGACCCGATGGAAGCTTAGGTCCGCTCCAGGCAGAAGAGAAGGCGCAGAGGCAGATTTTCCGCCCAGCCCTAAATTTGGAGAGCGAATCGCATCCCCCACAGCCGGGACTCTAGGTAAATGGGCCACCTCCTATCCACAGACGGTGACGCTGTCGCCCAGCCTGAGTGCCGCCCCGCCAAGGCCACCGAGGCCACCCAGTACAAAAGCCCCCTCCCTGCCCGGAGGCAACCCAGCCCCTCACCCCAGGCCCAGGCATTTGGAAAGGGACGGTCCCCTCGCTTCCTCCCCCGCCCAAGCCAAACAAATCTCTTCACCACTCCAAGACCCTGGGAAACAAAACCCAGAGACCACACCAGCACGCAAACGAGGCTGCCGCTGTGCCTCCGGGGGGCCGGGTCCCCGAAACCGGGACAGGGAGCAGCTCAGGCGTCTCGCGAGAGACGTGGCCCGGGAATGGAGTTGGGGTGGGTGGGGGGAGTGCCCGCGGCGGCGAGGACCCGCCACCCCGAGACTGGAAGGGCCGGGATGGGCGCGAGAGCTGAGCGGCACCCGAGATTAGCTTTGCGGCCGCGCTCCGGAACAAGCGCGAAATTTGCCGCTTCTGGGCTCTGTGGGATGGGGGGAGGGGGCTGGACAGGAAGGGAGATTCTGAGGGAGAGTTGGCTGAAGGCCTGGCCCGGGATGGGGGGGACTGTGACCCCGATCTTGCTTCCCGTCGGCAGCCCCGGGAGCCTAGCTCTGCGCGGCGCGCAGGAAGCACCCTCGGGAAGATGTGGGCCTGTCGCGGCGGGCCTGAGCCCTGCAGCCCGTCTCCGGCTAGCCGCTGGTTTTATGCGGAGCGGGGCGCCTCGAGGATGTGACAGGCGCAGCCGAATGGGGTCTCTCCATCCCTCCTCGGGTCGCCCCTCTTTGTGAAAAAGAAGTTACTCTTGTTCATTTCCTTTCCCTCATCTGGATTCTCTTGGAGTCAGTGGTGGGAACCCATAAGGTGGAAGGAAAGAACAAGGGCTGGGGCCACATTAAGTAACTCAGCCAGATGTAAAGTTTGCATCTCCTGGAGCGGGAGGATGCTCTCTTACTATACCCACGGGAACCCCAGCAGGAGCAGCACTGGCCTCTCAACCAGGAGTGGGCAGCCGTGCATGGGGACCTTCTGGGGCTCCAGGGTCAGGGAAAACAAGGCAGCTCCTCTGTTTCCTGTTGCCCTGCTATTTGATTTCATTTCTGCACTCAAGGGGGACCCCTGCCCCATAAGTTACATCTCTGATCCCACACTAGGTTCCTCTGTCCACAGAGGGGACCGACTGACCACTGGAGCCTCTGCCCCCAAGGTCTTTCAGATCCAGGTTTCTCAGGGGCTGCAGCCAGGCTGAGAATGACCACAAAGGCCCCATGGGCCCCTCTAGCCCAGCCTGGTCCCAGACTTTCTGAGCTGAAAGAAACTTCTCGACAACCACCTTCCCAGCTGCACTTGAGGGAGGTAAGGAAGCCAGGACTCCTCACTCCCCATCAGTGGGCAGGGCAGAAAGGTGACAACAGTGACAAGGCTGTGCATCTGAGTCAGCCTGGCTCGAGGCCAAATTCTCCACTGGCTCTGGTCCCAGGCCACTGCACACCGTGCAGCAGAAGGCAGGTCCTCCCTGACTTTGCAGGGGGCCTGTCACTTTTGTGACTTCAAAAGTTCCCTTGGTCTTAGTTCTCACTCTGTATTACACTGCATCTCATTGACTTTAAGGCAGCATCTTCCTGTTTCTGAAACCTGGGTTCATATGACAGTGGGAGGGGGTGTTTCAGGTGCTGTGGGCCCTGTGTCTGCAGGATATGACTGTCCCCAAGGCATGTGTCCTTGGCTGGACAGTGATGGCCCCTTACCTCTCAGGCACCAACTCTCAGTGGAGAAAACCATGAAGACAAGGAGGGAGGAAGGGACCTTCCTCAAGGCACAGGAAGACACGGGGCAAAAGCAGGGAAGGATCTCAGCTCTACTTACCCACCAGGCAGAGGCCAAGTGGGACAGGGCTGTGGG